CTCACAGATTTATTTATTTTTTTTTTCTTTCCCAGGCTTGTTGTAGTCAGGTCTCCCCTCTGCTCTCTTCCCCCGGAGCCCCTGTGGCTGCAGGGCTTGGTTGCGAGCGGTTTTCCAGAGGTACGGTTCGTCCCATCTCTCCATTTATAGAAAGGAATTAAGGAAACATGAGGGAGCGTTACTAAGAGGATTTGCACTGCGACTTACTCAGTTTCTCCAAATAATTTGCAATAGCTCTGGATTCTTTAATCAACACTCATTTCCTTTTGGAAATAAGCGGGAAGGTGCCGTGCAGAGCTCGGCTCTTCGCTGCCAGACGGGAATTTGCAATTCAGAGGAGCCTGAGAGCATAATTTGGGGAGATCTGGCAGGGGGGTGGGGGTGTGCTTAAGTGCATGTGCAAGAGAGAAGAGAAGGGAGTTTCGCGGTGTTCAGAAAGCCTCCGTCACTCTGTCCCTGCTCCCTCCGTGCAGTTTTGGGCTCCTCAGTCCCTGTCTGGAGCCTGCGGCCACACACCCGGAGAGGTTTTTTAGTTGGTGTGAGCCACAGTTGGGGGGGGTCACCCTGGTGCGGAGCTGTCGGTGGCTCCGCTCTGGTGTTGGGTGAGAGTCAGCAGTCAACGGGGGTCCCATGGGAATGTGGTCCAGCTCGCTCCCTGCCAGCGGGAATCCTGGAGTCCCACGGGAACGGCACTAAATTCCCCCGGGGACAGGGCTGCGGTGGCCTATCAAACCACAGGAGAAGAACTTGCGTGGTCTGGGGACCCTTTGGGTAATTCAGAGGAGCCTGAGAGCATAATTTGGGGAGATCTGGCAGGGGGGTGGGGTGTGCTTAAGTGCATGTGCAAGAGAGAAGAGAAGGGAGTTTCGCGGTGTTCAGAAAGCCTCCGTCACTCTGTCCCTGCTCCCTCCGTGCAGTTTTGGGCTCCTCAGTCCCTGTCTGGAGCCTGCGGCCACACACCCGGAGAGGTTTTTTAGTTGGTGTGAGCCACAGTTGGGGGGGGTCACCCTGGTGCGGAGCTGTCGGTGGCTCCGCTCTGGTGTTGGGTGAGAGTCAGCAGTCAACGGGGGTCCCATGGGAATGTGGTCCAGCTCGCTCCCTGCCAGCGGGAATCCTGGAGTCCCACGGGAACGGCACTAAATTCCCCCGGGGACAGGGCTGCGGTGGCCTATCAAACCACAGGAGAAGAACTTGCGTGGTCTGGGGACCCTTTGGGTACTGCTAAGGGAGGAGAAGCTGCTCAGGGAAATCCCACTGCTCTGAGGCAGAGATACTGGGTTGGATAGTCCCTGCTCTCTATTACCTGACTCTGCTCCTCCTCTGAACGGCCGGAGCCTTACCGTGCTCATGGCAGTGGGGTTTCCTCGCCCCTCTCCACAGGCGCTTGAAATGCTGATGCTTGCAGTGTTCCCAGTGCTTGTGGCGTGACCAGTGCTTGCAGCGTTCCCGGTGCTTGCAGCAGTACCGGTGCTGGTCACCTGGCCTCAGCCGAGCAGCCATGGCCCAGCCCTGTACCAGCTGCTGCCCAGCTGAGCTCTGTCCCTCACTC